TGCCCCAGCAACATGGAAACAGCACCATGGGTAGTTCAGGGCAGCAGACAGCAGCAGGAAGGCAGCCAGTCCTCCCGTGTGAGCAACGCTGGCACAGTCAAGTCACTGCTGAGGTTACTTTTCAGTTAATGGCCCTTGTTAAATTGAACCAGAAAGGACACACAGCTCCATTCCGTCTCAGAGAGCTCCTGGGCCCCAGCCAAGTCGGGTAAGACCCAGCGTGCTATTGTGCATGCAAACCGCAGGGGAGGCACCGAGGAGCGGGGAAGGGGCTGCCTTCCTGCTACGGGGAGGCTGCACATTCAGCTGTGCCATGGCCATGTGAGAGGCTGTCCCAGCCACAGCTGCTCTTTGCTGAGGGGCTGGCATGGCTCTCCCCAGAGCACAAAATCCAGCCCCCGCTACTGCAGTGGGCAGCCACATCCCAGCTGTACATCCAAGCATGCAGAGATGTTCCCACGTGGCACCTCCCCTCCAGGCCAGCTCTGGCCTCACCCGAAGTCCCAGCAGTGCTGGGACATGGCTGCGGCAGCTGTGGCTAAGCGCACGCCCTGAGCTGACACTTGCTTTGGTCAGTGTGTGCTCAGCCTCGTCCTACACAGTCTTCGCCTCTCCAGGAGCATTAGCAGTTTGCTGCACTGATTTTATACAGGTACTAGGGCTGAGGTGTCAGCCTGTGTTTGGCGGCTCACCTACAGCCCCCAGGGAGATGAGCTGGGGAGATGAGCCCCCCTGGCGAGGGGTCTTGTCATCAGTGTCCAGTTTAGAACCCCACAGCACCCACGTGGGAGGCCAGAGCTGCTCCTCAGGTCACAAGGTGGATCCCACGTCTGCTGGCACACCCGCCTCGCCTGGCTATGACATGCTGCAGTTTGATGGCTTTGAACCGTGCGCCTGGAACGGGAAGGAACACACAGTGAGCAAGGGAGGATGAGCTTCTTCCTCTGTCCTACAAGGGGGCACATCCAGCCGCACGGCCCCAGGGCTCTGTGCTCAGCAGTGACACTATCCTGCCCCAGGCTGGGCTGCCTGGTGAGAAAAGTGACCCTCGACAGAGCCCAGGAAAAGCAGAACCCAGGGAGGACCCCCAATGACACAGCCAGGCCAGGATCACCCCCACCACAGTGCAGAGCCTGCAGCCACCCTCACTCACCTGCCGCTGTGACTGCTGGTACTCAGCTTCACTCGCTGACAGTGCCCGGGCCAGTGCCAGATCCTCCTCCTCCTGCGTGCTGCTGGGGACAGCGGTGCTTTGTGTGCCTCGGGCTCACAGGCCCAGTGCCTAGAGCCCTTTGGGGTGGCAGCATTGCCTGTCACTGCAACCTCCCAGGACAGCTAAGGGCAGGGAGCAACTGAGGATCACCTTGAACAGGGCAGGGGCTGGAGAGGGACCAGAGCATCCAGCTGGGGCTGGCAGGCTGTAAGATGGTGCTTTGAGCAGCACTAGGTAATGTGTCTAAGGATGTGGGCTCCCAGGTGTCCTCTGTGAGCACCCCTGCTCCAGCTCTGTCACGCTCTAGCCATGCTCATCAGCTGACAAGTGGTCAGACAATAGTTTGCCATACCCTGTCACTGTCCTCTCCCAGCACCCTGGAGGGCTTGTTCACTGAACAGAGCTCTGTGATGGTTCTGGACTCTTCCTCTTTTTCCCCATCAGCCACACAGAGGCATCATCTGGAGCCACATGCTGAGAGGAATGTCATCCCAGAGCCACATGACTCTGCCCCAGGCACCTCTCACACGCAGGCTTGGGTCATGACACCATGGTCATGACACCCCGTGTCCCTGGGCTGTACCTGGGTGCCTGCGCTGAGCTGCATGCCGACTCAGCCAAGGACATCTCCAGAGCTCGCTGCAGTGCCTCTTCTTCGCTCTGAAACAAAACATCTTGTCACCAGCTTGGCTTGGGGTGGCAGGAGGCAGCCCTGAGGGACACACGGCAGTCACGATCTTGCCTGGCCAAATGTAGGTGTGCATCTCCCCTCCCCAAGGCCAGACACAGCCCAGGTGAAGGCCCTGGGCTCAGGATAGACCTGCAGCTCTCTCTCCGCCTGCCCAAGAGAATGCAGCCCTGCCAGTGCAGGGAGCATGCCAAGAATACCAGTGGGATGCAGCTTCCAGCCTCCTCCTCTGCCCTTGGCTTGCAGAACAGAAAGGCAAAACCCAGCACACTTTGTCCCTTTGGGGAAAGTGCAGCGGAGAGCTGCCATGTGCAGGCAACAGAGCAAACTGATGCCCCACTGAGTGTCCAGGATCCCTGTTTGCCTGGGGAGGCCCAGGTGGGGAGCACCGTGGTCACCCACACAGGATGGGTCACAAAGCAGTTGCTGCAGTAGCTCTCCAGGTCACAGGAATGACCCAAACCCATCCCAAACTCCCAGGCCAGGCCACTCACCAGTCCGTTCTGCAGCATGACAGCTGGAGGGGAGGTGCTGTGAGTCTGCAACGCAGCTGCTCTGCCTCTGCAAACAGGAGAGAAGCTGGATTATTGTCTAGGGAGGGAGCCCTGGTACAAGTACACAGCCCTACCGATGCACAAGCAGCACAGAGCTGTCACTCCTGCGTCCCACAGGGAGCCAAGCTGAGCCTGGTCGTGCCCCCCTCAGAACTACAAGTCAGGCTGTCACCATACCTGGCAGAAGCCGGAGAAGAGGAGCTGTCTGCTGGCCGGGCAGCTCCACTGCTTGATGCGGTAACTGTTTTGGAGGAGGATGCCAGGGCTCTCACAACTGCAGCATGCCTAGGGCAGACAGGATGCAACTACTTTACAACTGTGGGCCATCCCTGGGCACTGAACACCCAGGGAGATGAAGCTGGATAAGACACCTCCCTGACCTCCAGCTCCCTTTCTTCCTCCCAACACACCCAGGTGGTGGCTCAGCTATGCCCAAGGGTTTCAGGTGCCCTTTCTCTCCTCAAAACACTGTGACAGGGAATACAGAAAAAGGGACTAAGCAGAGAAGCAAAACCAAAACAGCCCGTAGGCAGTACTGGCGGCTTTTGCTGCAAGGAGAGACTATGTATAACAGCTGTGCTGACTCTACAAACCTTAACGCCGCTGGAGGACACCCTGGCACACAGGGAGCATGAGAATGCAGCAGTCCCAGGCAAAGGGCTGGGAGGATCTCAGCTTCTTTCCTGTCATCCATCTGACAACCACAGCCTCATGTCTGTCCCCAGGCCCTCACCCTGCTTTGGAGAGGGGACGCCCTGCCCCGCTGCAGTCGTGGTCCAGAGGGTGTCGGTGCTTGAGGCAGTAGTTCTTGTGGCACTGGTCGCAGATCACCTTCATCATCTCCTTCTGTTTGCAGCCAGGCTTCAAACACTTGTTGGTGAAGATCTGAAAGACAACATGTCAGTAGTGAAAAGAAACAGGGCCTGCAGGTCCAGGGCTGTCCCCTCCCTCCATGCCAGACCCTGAGCACTGACCAGCTTTCTCTCCCAGTGTCACTTCCGTGGGGCTCTAGAGTTTGTCTCTGAATACTAGTTTTCTTCAGACAGTTTATCAGTAATTCACTAGTGCTTTGGCTTTCATAGACAAGGGTCCCCACGATCACAGCATGCACAGCAGGAGACACTGCCTCACCCAAGGACTCCTGCCTGCCCTGCCAGTGCAGGGGGGACAGCCCAGAGCCCTCCAGCTGCTGCTGGGCTGGACTCCTGCAGGGCCAGCTCCCTGCAGCAATTTCCTCTCCTGGAAAAAAGGGGCAGCTAATCGCTGATTACATTTTCCTAATAGCAGCATGCAGTTTCCCATCCTCAGGTCCCACGTGGCTGCCCAGCCCCACTCCATTGCTACCTCAGCCCTGGACTCACACCACAAAGCCCTGCAGCTGCGCACGCCTCCAGGCCACCAGCCCTTCCTGTCCTTGGCCTGTGCAAACAGACGGCACCAGGCTGGGCTGGTTTCTGTGTTGTTTTCACCCCAGCCCCGGGCTTTGGGAGGGACCCAGTGGATCTCAGCAGCAAGGTGGAGAGCGCTGGGTTCCTACCTTGCGCTTGCGCTGCGCGGGGTCAGACTTGCAGTCACGGTCAATGTGCTCGCCCACCACAACATCGGGCATCTCCCCCCGCCTCATGGGGACTGGGGTGTTGCAGAGGGGACACACTGGGACCTGCACATCCTGTAGAGATAAGAAAAGGGGGCTGGGAGCATATAGCTGGGCAACCTCAAGTGCTGTGTGGCCACCTCCGTCCCTTTCAGGATGTGCCTGCTAAGGCTTCCACAGTGTCACCTGTGGCTTGAGATCCTGCTCACCGCCCTCCAAAGAGCTTACTGAAGCTTGCTCACCTTCTTGTAGGCAGAGGTACAGTTGTGCTGGGCGTAAGCAATGTGGTCGGTGCAGAAGATCTGGTCGCAAGCGTCGCACTTCAGGGGGAGGAAGTCTGGGAGCGGGCAAAGGCATCAGGCAGAGAGCGGGCAGAGGTCAGTGCTGCCTGCAGCCTGGGGACCTCCCCGGCCTCCCAAAAGCATGGCCCCGACCACGGCAAAGCCAAGACCGC